TTCCCACTTTGAGCTTGTTACATGGCAGATTCAATGTATTACCCGTTCAAGAATCATTTGTTAGTAATAATTTTTTTTAATAAAAATGGACAAAGGCTGGTCAAGTTTGTAATCGTGCACAAGGCTTAGTGGACTTAGTGGGATTTATGGATCGTGAGTTTTTATGTATCATCATTAAGAATAAATAAAAGAAAATATAGAGTAAAAACTAAAAAACTTTTCAAATTTGAAAAATATCTAAATTATTTTTTGTCAAAAAAACTTTCAACTACTACATTTTATCTAAAGTTGACTTTTTCTACTATGTCACATAAGAAAATAAACACATAAATAATTAAAAAATTAAAATAAATTTATAAAAATAAATAAAAATAAATACATGAATACACATACAAATACATACGTCTGTGACAATTCATATCCAAAAATTCGGGAATCGAATAAAATAATGATAATTTTGTAATACGGATCATATAGAATAAAAATCGAATTGTATCGATTTGAATTGAAAAAAGTCTCACAAACTCGTAATCGATACGATTTGTGACTCATGAATCTAAAATTCGTATTCTACAATACGAATAGGGCATTGGGTTGCACAATCGAAATCGATTTCACGATGTTTATTAGAACAAACCGATAACAAGTATCGAAATAATATAATAATTGAAGTATAAAACAATTTAATAATTATTATTATTATAAAAAATAGTGGTAGATAAAATAATTAAGGGGAGGGGTCACAATTTCTTTTAACCCCAAATAATCAGAGAGAGAGAGAGAGAGAGAGAGAGAGAGAGAGAGAGAGGAGCGCGTCGAGCCACAAACGGAGTTTCCGCCACCTTCATACAGTGCCATCGGATTAGTTACATTGTAAAGGTTCCGTCGGCGCACAATATATTTTCGTCGATTCTAGAGTCTAAGTGAAATCGACGTTTATAAGTGAAATTGAATTTAGTTTTAGTATATAATTAAAATTGGGAGTGATCATGAGACAACTGTTTAAAAACTGGCCAAAATTGGCTTAAAACGAATATTTTAAAGTTAGAAAAATCACATATAAGTGAACTTTACAAATATGTCAAATAAATATCTAAATTTTTAGTTTTATCTAATCGATACTTCAAATATTAAAATATTTCAAATGGATACCCGATTCATAAAATAAAAAATAATTTATAATTTCGTGGATTTTTTATGTTGGAATTAACATCTAATTTATAAATCGTCGTTAGAGTCGAGGTTAAAAATTATTATCGATTTAATGATTTTCGTGTTTTATGTCGAAAATCAACATCTAATTTTTATGTTATTGGCGAGTTGAGATCGAGAATTGTCATCGATTTCATTAGTTAAGATATCTATTTGAAACAATCTCTCATCGGAGAAGAGCTCGTCGACCCGGGAAGAATCGCCACTGGATCCTCAAGCTGAAACTCGAAATCTTTGACGGATTCGTTGTTGACGCAAGTTGACGCCATCTCCGACGAGTATATAAAAAGTTTACACTTCTAGTTCTAGATGCCACGTAAGCTCATTTTGTATAATATGATAACCATGTATTTTTCTATGATCCCTTTTGGGATTTAGCCTCCAATACGCCTACTTTACATACTCTTTATGTATAAGGTTTTTTGTTTAATTTAATGCATATACAACCTTTAACAAAAAAAATAATAAAGATACTTTTTAAAACCATATAAAAAATTTAATATTTAAAAAATAGTTTTTTTATCAAAATCGAAAAATTCAGATTTTTTTTTTCTTTTTAAGAATTAGTAGGGGTAGCCCATTTTAATAATTACTAGTAGAATTTGAATGACATTGGTTTTTATTTTGGGTTTTTTACTTTAGTTTTTGGTTTTTAGTTTTTGCCTTTTGAATTTTATAAGTTTGTAAATCTAAAAAATTATTATAGCTTTTGATTTTTAGGTGTTGAATGAGAAGTGGTTTTCGAAGTTTTTGTATTTTAAAAATTGGAAAAACCGACAATCTAAGTTTTTTAAAATTTGATTTTTCTAAAAATTCGAAAATCTACTTTATGGAAAAAATCAACTAAAAATCAAAAGTCATAATTTTTTAAATTTACAAACTTATAAAATCCAAAAGCCAATAGACCAAAAAACTAAAAATTAAAAACCAAAAACTAAAGCCAAAAATTCAAAATAAAAGCCACCACCATTCAAAACCTTAGTTGATTTTTTTTTATAAAATAGATTTTCGGGTTTTTAGGAAAACCAAATTTTAAAAAACTTGATTGTCAATTTTTCAGTTTTTAAAATCCAAAAACTCCGAAAACTTCTCCCGTTCGAGACCAAGTTTTTCTTGAGCAAAAAGTTAGTGGCGTTGTGCCATGACATGAGCTATGAGTTTGATGCTTGGTGAGGAACAACACGTTGGACAATGAATTTGATAGAAATGGAACAGTCGTATTATAAACGAAATCTTAATGATATTATGCCATTGTCAGGTATGTTATATTCGTCGTATAAATTAGGCTTTCCACAGAAGAAAACAAATCCAGTTGTATATATATATATATATATCAATCATTTATTGCAAAATAGTAAATTAATTCTATAAAACGGATATTAACATTAATTAAATAATTTGACAAACTGATATATAGTATTAGTTATGTTAAATATCAAATTCTAAAAACCCCCCGAGAAAGAAATATATATTTGGATTTCTCATCTCTGTTTTAAATTTAATACAAACATATATTGGGCCGACAATAAATTTGGATGGACTTGTAATTGGGCCCATGATCGGACATTTGCTCGCATCAGGTTGGAGTAAGGGGAAAGAGATGGGTATTGGGCTCTTTAACCATGGACTTGGGCTTCGCACAAAGAAATTGGTATTGGGGTTGAAGAGAAAATTATCCGTTTTTCGATTGTACTTCTAATCCAGTTTAACTTATAGTTTGGATTTATATTTCACGATTAATGATTACGAAAAATATAATTTATCATTATTAAACGTTACCAAATCACCTTTACTGTTTTAAAAAAAATCATGAATTTGTCCCTGATTTTTAAATTTATAAAAGTGTCCTTTATATTTGTTAAAAAATTTACGAAAAATATAGGTTTAGGGTTTGCTGAGTTATTAAAAGGGGTATTTTCGTCATTTTAATGAAACGCAACGAATTGCTGCCAAAACGCGAGTCAAAAGTTGCGATTAAAAATTATGAGTTTTGTTGCGGTTCTGGTTTTGAACGCTGAGACAAACCAGAGGAATTATGACACTTTCGGTTCTGTCCAAAGAACGTCAACATACATTCAGGGCATATAAAAAACAAGATTTCAAACCAAGTAACCACAAACATTATTACATTAACTATCATTTAAAAACTGCAACATAAAATTGTTTAATTACACATTTAGATCAGACATAACATATGATGGAAACTTCTGCAACAATAATGCTCCTTTGACGGATGGATAGTCATAGCCTGGAGCCGAAAACACCAACAGAATGCATGCTCAGTTGATGTTACGGCTAATAAGATCCAACCCTTATTCGATCTGGGAAGAAACAAATTAAAGCAGATGGATTACAAAAACAAGAGAATAGCATATATGATGATGGGCTTCATGTTGAATCTGTACATACATATACGCCTTATATGAGCCTCATATTTTCATTAATTATATGCACGCATAGTAACCTATTTGGTTTTATTTTAGATAAAAACGGAAACAGCTCAAATTGGGATCTTGTTTTGACCGATTGTATGTATTTTGAAAGATTGTGCTCCATGTTCCCTCCTATAGCAAAGATTTATTTACGCTTCAATAAAATCTGACTTTGATAAAAGTAAATGTTACTCACCAATGTCTCTACGACAGAGCGTTGGAGATCGAAAGCATTGTCGGTCGAGACAGTGGATCAGATCGAACACACTGAAATGCAATTCTCACAATCTCTTGGAGCTTCTCCTCGATCCGCCATGGAAATGGCAAGCGTTGGTCCAATATATCACTCAATCCGATGCTCTCTTCGGACAACGAATACAAAGAAATCGAGTCTCCCGGATGACAGCCTCTCAACACTTCAAGCGTTAGGACTCCGAAACTGTATACGTCGCATTTCTCCGTCACCCTCATCGTATAAGCCAGTTCTGGATTAAACATAACCAAAGACAACAAAAAAAAGTTACGAAGTAGATAGCCTTGAATCCCCCATATCAAAAATGTTATTAACTCGTTATATACCTGGTGCCATGTAGCCATACGTGCCCACGACGGCAGACCAATTTGAAGAGTCAATCTTCAGGAATTTTGCCGTACCAAAATCTGATACCTTAGCCTCATATTCTTCATCCAACAGAACATTCCCACTAGTGATGTCACGATGTACAATCGTCGGTGACCTGTCATGATGCATGTATGAGAGAGCGTGAGCAACACCCTTCACGATATTAATCCTTTTCCTCCAATCAAGCCTCTTGGCTTCTTCTTCGTCTGCCAAAGCTTTTGCTAGACTGCCTTTTTCCAAGTACTCGCACACTAGGAACGAGTGGCGGCGATGGGAACAAAAGCCGTAGAGCTTCACAATGTTACGGTGGCGAATTTCCGTCAATGTTCGTATCTCGATCAAGAACTCGCGTTGCATTTCCGGCGTTGATATCTCGTCGTTCGCCATCTCATTGAACTTTTTGACAGCTAACGTCATACCTGGCAGTTTTGCTATGTAAACGCTTCCGCATCTTCCTGTTCCAATGAGATACTTTTGATCAAAATCCTCTGTGGAGTTGGTGATCTCTCGGTATGCGAGTTTTCCATCAAAATTTGTCACCAAGAATTGTAACACTGGCTCCGAATCTGCGTTTCCATTAGGTTGTCGTTGTCTTCTTCTTATGATGAAGATGCCAGCTCCAACACAAATTAAGAGAAATACAATTACTCCAAAGGTCGAGAATAACACCAAAGATTTCTCCTTTCCCGAAGATTTCTTCCTTCCCAAGTAAGCAATAGGGCATGGCTTGAATCCTTGTTTGAAATCACTACACAACCCTTTGTTGCCCTCTAATGCCTCAGCATTAGCATTTCGAAATGCAAAGTTATCTGGAATTGGACCTTCGAGGTTATTATGTGACACTTTGATGATTCTCAAAGCATGCATATCCTTGAAACTTGTTGGGATGATACCCGAGAGATTGTTATATGAGAGATCCAGTGTGTCGAGGGTCGATAGCAAGCTTATTTGTTGTGGGATTTCGCCGTCCAATTGATTGTTGCTAAGATCAAGCGTTGATAACTGAACAGACATCGATATCTCGATGGGTATACCTCCATCTAAGTTGTTTCGACTCAAGTTGATGTAGTGAACCTTAGATAGGTTCCCAATTGTCTTGGGGATTTGGAATTCGAATCTGTTTGAGGATAAGTCGAGCGACTCAAAGTCGGTTAGAGAACCGATTCCTAGAGGGATTCTTCCGGATAATCGGTTCCCACTAAGGTTCATCTTCGACAGATGGCTAAGACTTCCAATGGTTTCTGATAGTTCACCAGAGATGTAGTTTGAAGATAGATCAAGTTCTTGTAGATTCGTCATGTTCCAAATCTCCGAGGGTATTACACCCGTGATCTTGTTATCAGAGATGATTAATGCACTGAGTTGTCGGAACTCTTTCCATTTGGTTGAAATATTACCATGAAGCTTGTTGTGGCTGAGATCAATATAAACAAGATCAGGATAAACCCCGAAGCTGTCTGATAAATCTCCATCGAAGTCGTTTCCATCAAGTCTTACCCTGACTAAACTTGTGCAGTCTCTCAAGCTTTTTGGGATGACACCCCTGAGGCGGGTATAGAGCAGTAAGAGATACGTAAGCTTGACGCCTTTGCAGATGTTTTTTGGTAAGAAACCGGTGAAGTTGTTGTAGCTGAGGTCCAATATAATTAGCTCTAAAGACCTTGTGATCCCCGAAGGGATTGAACCCGAAAAATGATTATTTCTAAGGTTCAACCACTCCAACTTGGAAAAGTTTCGAAAAGAAGACGGTATGACCCCACTTAACAAGTTGTTTGCCAATTCTAGTGTTTGAAGCGAAGTTAGCAAACCCATTTCGGCGGGGATAGAACCGGTGAGATTGTTCACAGAAAGTTGCAACCAAAACAAGTTGGTTAGGCTTCCGATCGAAGATGGTATGGTTCCGGTTAGAAAGTTGTTGGACAGTTCTATTATTTGAACCGAGGATAGCAAACCAATCTCGGAAGGGATACTACCAGTGAGAGAGTTTGAATGAAATCCCAACTTATCCAACTTTGTGAGATTTCCAATTGACGATGGTATGGTCCCGGTAAGGGAGTTGAAGGACAAGTCTAGGGATTGAACCGAAGTCAGAAAACCAATTTCGATGGGGATAGGACCGGTGAGGGTGTTTGAATTAAGTCCCAACTTAACCAACTTTGTTAGATTTCCTATTGACGACGGTATGGCACCGGTTAGCGAGTTGTACGACAAGTATAGTTGTTGAAGTGAAGTTAGTGAACCAATGTTAGAAGGAATTGGACCACTGAGAATATTGGTGTAGAGGTGGAGCTCGACCAAATTGGTCAGATTTCCTATGGAAGATGGTATGGTTCCTGTGAGTGAGTTATTGTGTAAGCCAAGTCTTTGAAGCGAAGTCAAGAAACAAAGTTGGGCGGGGATTGGACCGGTGAGAGAATTATTAAAGAGGTTCAGGTCGACCAAATTGGTCAGATTTCCAATCGAATAGGGTATAGACCCTGTGAGTGAGTTCATAGATAGGCTGAATTCTCGAAGCGAAGTTAGGAGACCAATTGCGGTGGGGATTTGTCCAGACAACTGGTTCGTGGACAGGTCAAGGTGGATGAGCTTAGAGAGCTGTCGAAATTCGGGAGGTATGGTTCCAGCGAGAAGGTTCGTTTGGAGGTCGAGATGGGCAAGGTTGGGAAGAGAAGAGAAGGGGAAATGATGGAGAGTACCTTCGATACCGGTCCGTGAGAGGTTCAACCTTACGACACTGCCCAGAGAGTTGCAGGAAACACCAAACCAATTGGCGCACAGACTGTGGCTGCTCTTGTTGTTCCACGAAGACAGCATAGGAGCGTGCCCGGAGAAAGTGGACTTCCATTTCAGAAGACCCTCTGCTTCTGAGGATGCAACAGAAGAAGAAGAGGAACTCATCCCGACCACGAAGAAGATGAGCGGAACATAAAGAACACCGTATGGTTTTTTATTAGTTGATGATGAACCCATCCTCTCTCTCTCTCTCTCTCTCTTGGTTGTCTTTGTTTGCGTTCACTGCATGTGGGGCGGCAGGTTTTTATGGTTCTCCTCTACGTTATTTTCATTTTTCAATTATTTTACCTTCGTTTTCTTATAAAATGTTTTATTTTATTTTGCACTGTATTTAATAGAACCCTTTTAAAAGCACAAAGTTTATGATCCATCAAGTAAACTAAAAATTGTTTTGGCAGTGATACATCTTACATGAATTTTATAGGTAATCAACAAAATCAAATTATAATCATTTTTTTTTATAATAACAGCTATAGCCACTCTGAGCTGATATTATGCAGTGGCCAATTATGTGCAATCACATCATGTCACAATACCCTATAGTCGATTGTCGAACCTTTGGAATTATTGGCCGTTTACTTCGAAAATATTCCTGAAATTAAGTCAATTTATTTTGTCATTTCTCGATCAAAATTAGCGCGTAATATAGGGTATAGATTTTTTCTTGACGAGTTGGTGTTATTTGGCAGCATTGAAACTGCTTGGTGGTACCATTCGTAGCGTGCAATATAGGGTATAAATATACGCGCTTCTACAGTAATGAATATGAAATCAGTCGATTACATCGATGAATTGCCCATCCCGGCATTGTTTCCGGAGTGGGGTGCTCGAATTAGACTTGAAGGCGAGAGGTTAATGGACTACGGATGCGAAGGTCGTTTACTATGGGAGAAAATTCCAAAAAGTCAATTTTGTCATTTATTTATGATATAAAACAATAGCTACGTGGGGTCCATTTTTCCGACAGCGACTGGATTGGTTGATGTTTTTTCTAACCGGGAGATTCATCCCTTGGGCTAATCCTGCTTCACCCTCTACCCCGTAACTCGAGTATGAGTACTGGAACAAGGGGAGTCCTTAGCCCGCTCTCAACCAGCTACACCACTTCGGAGGGACGACTTCATGGAAAAGACGAAATTAAATGATATCCATCCCTCTCTAATGCGAGGTTCGAACACTTTTAGGAACACAATGCTAGCCACTCGACCACAAACAATTGGGTATTTAATGGTTTTAACTTGATATTACATAACAAGCCTCAACTCTTCTACTGATCGAAATCCAACATATAATTTAAAAGCAATGTTTTTCTGCATTTTAAAAATAGAATAAAAAATTATACAGTAACGTCCTCAATGGGTAATGCCGGTTCTTATCATGAATGGTTGAAAAATCTTTGAGCAATGACAATAATTGAAAAGAAACAAACTATACTTTTTTTTGTCTATTTCTGTTAGAAAAAATATGGATAAGACGAGTTTTATTAATTACAAAACCCTCCAAGAAAGAAATATATATTTGGTTTTCTCTTCTCTGTTTTAATACAAACTTATATGACGTTATGGGTTTGGGCCGCAAATAAATTTGGATGGACTTGTAGTTGGGCCCATGATTGGACATTGCTCGGATTGCGTTTGAGTCCAGAGAAATCGCATCAGGTTGGAGCAAGGGGAAAGAGATGGGTATTGGGCTCTTTAACCATGGACTTGGGCTTTGCGCAAAGAAATGGGTATTGGGCTTTAAGAGAAAATTATCCGTTTTTCGATTGTACTTCTAATCCAGTTTAACTTATAGTTTGGATTTATATTCCACGATTAATGATTACGAAAAATATAATTTATCATTATTAAACGTTACCAAATCACCTTTACTGTTTTAAAAAAAATCATGAATTTGTCCCTGATTTTTAAATTTATAAAAGTGTCCTTTATATTTGTTAAAAATTTTAAAAGTATCCTTATTTTTTTTTTTCTAAATTCAAGTTTAGAAATCTTGATATTTTTTTAACATCTAGAATTTGTAGATACATCGGATACTATAAATTATAATATCCGAAACATTGAGATAAAAAATGGATATTTAAATATATATATATATATTGTTAATATCTAACCAAATCCCAACTTAACCAAATTAGCTGATTCGATTAAATCAATGTCTGCCTCAGAATCTGTAGCATGTTTTAAATTGGATTAAATCTTGGAACTAATTTTCATTACTAATCAATTTATTTGGTCAATTATAACTTAAATATTATCGAAACTTATTGGCATTGACAAGTGGGTTACTGTATCTGTATACATTTATGGCATCAAATGAAGACTTGAAAGGCAAGTAAAATATCTCACCAGTTTCTGTATGAGGTATCAGGTTTCAGTTAGGTTTTTATATATTTTTAAATTCAGAGATTCAATTTATTAACGAATATATTCATCTTTTAATAAATTATTTTCACGATATTTTTTTATTATTTTATACTCGATATGTCATTAATCTATTTAGACAATTTTATTTAAAAATATCCCCGCTCAGTCATTCGATTCGATTTGGATTTAATTATATATTATTTGGTACATTTGGTTTTATACAATAACACCGAAATGCACCCATATACGTATCCAAGATTCCTCTGGCTGTTGTTCAACGTTATTTCATCTAATCATATATTTAAGAAACTTATGTGTAATTTTCCCGTAAATCTTGAATTTCGTTGAAATACATATAGATCGAGTTTCTAGAATCGACAAAATGAATTGATGTGTACTACAAGTGTTATAATAGTGTATTGTAAATTATGATTTAAAATATGATAGAAAACGAAAAACTTTCACCAACCGTGACATTAATCTGTCAGCATGTGTTCGTCCTATTGGTTCTTTAATATATATATATATGTATATATATATGTGTGTATGTAACATTTGTACAAAAAGATATAAATGCATCGAAGTAATTTTTAATTCCCTTATGAGTTACAGTTTTTTACGGCCCCGTTTGAAATGAGTTTGAAGATATAATTGACTTTTTTTTATTAACATTTTTTATAGGTTCAAGGTTTATATTAAACGCTTTTCTCCTTTCATATGTGCGTTATTGTGAGTATTGCATGGGGGCCTACGTTATTTTCATTATTGTAATTCCGACATTCACATTTTTTTTTATTTAAAAGAAAGTAATATAACTGAAAAAACTGAACGAAAATTTATTTCTAAAAAAAATATACTTCTTCTAATGGAAAACAAAAATAAAAAATAAAAGTCATAGCGAACCAAAAACACGATATAAAAATTGAATTATATAATCTTTTTTAGAATCAAAAAAGTAAAAAAAAAAATCTTACACGTAATTAAGGTTCCGAAAATGGAATATTTTGAGATGGGTTTTTTTTTCTCACTTTTGTTATTGTGTTATCATTTGAACATATAACATGAGCTCATAACTCACCTTGGTGCAACACCATATCTTTGAGATCACCAAACTATATATGGATTCATTAGTTTAAGACTGTTTTCAAACGATAACCTATAATATATATATCCCGATGAAATATCAGAAATCCGTATGTATCTACCGATATGTATCATCAAAATGTGGATTAACCATGCAATATATAACACCTAGCATACACACACACACACACCATATATGGGCCATTACCCTCCAAGGGCATAGAGAGCTCTTAGGAGGAGTAAGTACCCTGTGAATTTCGACTAATAGTATAGTGAAATATGGTTTATGCATTTATTTGGTCGGTTGAGCAGTCTATTTAAGGACCCCTCGCCCATTTATGTTTTGGTTGGTGCGGAAATTGCTCCTCTTCGCGTGTTTAAAACCCCCCTGCTCATGCCTTTCTCTAACTAGCAAAACTCGATTACGAGAATCATGTGATACATATGATCATATATATCGGACGAGAGGAGGTAATAGCAATAAATATTCAATTCCAACAACCAACCAAGCCAAAGTTCTTGAATATCATCTATATCTTATGTCTGTATTCTCGCATTAATATATCTGGCATCTTCTTCCATCTCGATGTGATCTCTGCCGAATCTTATCGAACTATGTTGCGTGCTTACGAAATTCAAATCCAAGACTCGGTTTAGCCCATGAAATTAGCTGAGCACCATCATATATACATGATACAACATGTAAGAAGAGATTCAACCAGTGAAACGGGAGCACAAAGCGGTTGTTCCATCCCGAGTTCGAACCTCAAGTTTGGGGAGAGAACGTATAATTCAAATCACATTACTGGCTCCCGATCTCGAGATTAGCTGAGTTTCGGTCTAAGATGCTTGATTATAAAAAAAACATGTAAGAAGAGAACATATAGATACACATACATAAAGATTTAGTTTAATTTCGGTACCACTTTTTCCCATACCGAAACTAGAAAAGATAAGTAACCGAGGAAAAAAATGGTTCACAAACCGAACCAAGCTAAACCAAATTAATTAGTTTAGTTAACACTGTTTATTTGACATATCTTAACAAACCCTAAATAAAAATTACTTAGAAACCAATTTGGCCACCGGTATTCACAAGATCTTAATGAAATTGAAAACCCACTTGTTATATATGTTCTTGATCAATATGCAACCTAAGTATAGATTCACGTCAAAAGGCCTTAAAAGATTTTTCTGAATTTGTTTGTTCACGTACGCAATTGAGGGAAGCCGTAGTTAATGCGTCTTACATTCAATTAAGGGCATTTAAGGCTTTTCTCCTTCTTCTTCCTCCTCCTCCTCCTCATCCTCTTCGTCTTCACTTCAACTGTATTTTTTATAATTTCTTTTCTATATTTCGGACACTTCACATTAATGGAGACTTCACCGCCTCCATTTAAGGGACACCCGAAAACCGGTACAGTCCAACTCAATTCCACATTTATGAAAATACTACAAAACGTTATTATTGCGCCTGTCTTTGTTTTGCAATTATGTTCCCGGTTCCAATTTTGGGTCTGATTTGCGGTTGTCGTTAGGTGTTTAATAAACATAATTATGTTATAATTATATAGTCTAGAGGCGTTTTATATGGTTCGGTTGCCATGTTGGTTCAGATTATGAATTTAACCTAAAAGATCATTTTGATTAAAAATGCTCAAATTCATAGATTATATACAAATAATTTATAAAATTATTGAGAAATATTATATCCAAAATAACTAGATCATAAAGCAATAATTTTTTTTACATGAACAAAATATAAAAAACAATTAGATATTGATAAATATCTTTGTAAATTTTTTAATAACACAATAATATAATGAATTTTTTTCTATTGTCCGCTACTCGCGGATAATTATCCGATCCGAAAATACTAATTTGAACCCGAATTTTGGATTTTATACATATTTTGGATTTTCGATACCCAACCTACGTGGTCGCGACTTTAACCCATCAGCATAATTAACTACGGTTATGCGATCGGTACGTATCTCTTATGAATATCGGATTTTTTCCTCGTGAGTGCGACCAAATTAATTACAAACAGTCCAACAACATGGAGATTTAATAAACAAGTAACCAAGGTTGGTCCCATTTTTAATGAAATTGAATACGTCCACATCCATTTTTATTATTATATTATTGTTATTTTTATTTTTATTTTTCCTTCAGAACTAAGTGGAAGAGAGCGTTGGATGGATTTATATTACATCTGAGAGTTTTAATAAGCTCCCTCTGCTGCAGTAATTGAAGAGAGCCAAACTTTGAATGCACGTCATGCATGAACAGTTTCGTATTTTTCATTTCTTTTTCTTTTTCTTTTTTAATTATTATTAAAATTTTATCAATAACTTCAACTTCCAATTCTCGACTGCCTTTATAACTACACGTATATAAGAACCCCTTACGTAACATTTGCCCTAGCTACACCGTCAAATAGAAGCAACGCGACATATAGAGCGCTGTGTTTGTGTGCATGATGTTTCAACTCCGAGAAGGGATGGTTTCAGACAAAGCAGCAAGTGGATTCCTAGGCAAGAGATCGATCGATCGAGGGTACACCATGGATCCTGATGAATCTTCTAGAAAAAGAAAACGCCGAGATGAATCCGATCTTCGCGATAATCATCAGGAACTTCACTTGTCGAGCGATGTTCAGCTCTTGGAACGATTCAAATGGCATAAACCCACTTCTTCTTTCTTTGATCCCAAGGTAAATACATATAATATGTGTATATATATATAGCTCGTTTGAAAGAGGATTCAAGATGTTATTGGTACGATCACAGACGTACGTGAATGTTTCGAGTGTTAATAGACAGAGCGTTTCCAGCACTTCAAGAACAAACCAAATGTATATCCTTGTTTCTTGGTTTCTTTATGTTCGCAGAGAAGAACAAGCGAAGAGGACTCTCGGAAGAATACTCTCAATCCAGAATATTATTACAACAACCGCATGAGTCTTGATCTCGAACTCAACTTATCACCCTCTCTCGTCGATCTGAATCATCACCATCACAATCACACAAACGATAATGACAACAAGGATTATGTTAATGATCACGATCATGATGATGATCATCACCATCAGAACAAGAAGAAAGCGACAAAGGGTTCGGAGCTAGGGGCCTCAAGGAGAAGCCTTTCATGGTTAGGGCTCGATCACGAAAACTGCAACAGAGGAGGAGGAGAAGGGGGAGGATTTTCCGGCGGCGAGGAGGAGGAGGCGGAGGAGATGATGGCTAGGGTTTGCATGAAGTGTCACATGCTAGTGATGCTGTGCAAGGCCTCGCCGTCTTGCCCTAACTGCAAGTTCATGCATTCTCCTCAACAAAGCTCCCACTCTAATTCCCTCTTCTTCTCTCCTAAGCCTCCTCTACTAAGCTTAATTGATTACTTTGGCTAATTACTCCTCGTCATTATCACTCAATGTGTAATACTAATTAATTACTCGGTAATCAAACGTGTGTGATCGATTAAATATTAGTATATATATAATATATTGACCGTTCAACGCTTCTCTGTTATTTCATTTTAATATACGGACTTTTGTATCAGATGAAAGTTATGTTTACATTTATCATTTTGATAAGTCCATTGCCATATATTTTAAGCGATATCAGAGAAATCATTTATTCCTCTAACAAATCCACTTAGTGAAACATCAAGTATCACTTGAAAATTATGTTTACGAAAATTCTCACATATTTATGGGCTTGGATTCGGCCCACTAAATGGGCCTAAAAGTAGGCCCAAATCAGAAGCGTTTAACCGAGTCCAGAAGAATCGGAAAGGAAAAGGACCGATGTCTACCGACACGTGTCAGTCGTTTACTTGACAACTGGATAATTCACGGTGGCCCATCTCTATTCGCTTTCTCATTGCATTGCAGTCTCCGTCTTTTTATCAACTTTCAGTTTCTTCTTCCCTTTTGTTTTTTTTATTCAAAAGCCGAAGTCTGATTTCCCACCAAAGCTCACCTTCCTCACCTTCGTCAGAATCTCTGCCATCACCGCCATGTCTCCGTCTGGAGAGTTCTCGGAGAACGGAAACAGTGGAGTGGCCCATCTCTATTCGCTTTCTCATTGCATTGCAGTCTCCGTCTTTTTATCAACTTTCAGTTTCTTCTTCCCTTTTGTTTTTTTTATTCAAAAGCCGAAGTCTGATTTCCCACCAAAGCTCACCTTCCTCACCTTCGTCAGAATCTCTGCCATCACCGCCATGTCTCCGTCTGGAGAGTTCTCGGAGAACGGAAACAGGGGCCGCTGCCCCTGCCTCTCCGGTGAGAACGTTGGAATCTCCGGCGACGGCTTCGGCGGATCCGATGATCTCCCATGCATACATTGCAAGGGATCTAACGAATTCGCTCTATCTTCTTCGTGTTCTTCTTCTCCTTTGTTTCGGCCGAATTCGGTGTGGCCGCTTGACGATTCAGAAAAGCTGAAAAGGGTCGTCGTCGCTTCGGCGAAAGGGTTCTCCATTGGAGCAGGTCTCAAAGGTGGATTAGCTCTTTTCTCGATTCTCTCTCGTTTTGCTCGCCGTAGACCTCCGTCTTCTTCAAGGTAATATGAGAACGCTGAATCGAATTTTGGATTGGGTTTGTAAAAAAAAAATTGTTCTAAGATTTTTCGTTTGGTTCTCTGATCTGAAAGCCAACCTCCATATTTTTTTTATAGGAAAATTGGGTATTTTTCAGATAGCGAAGCTGTTGCTATGGCGATCAAGGAGACGCTGAGATACGGCTTCTTTCTGGGAACTTTTGCTGGTACTTTTGTGTCCGTGGATGAAATTATTGGTGCTTTGGCAGGACACAGGAGGCATGCTCGTTGATCCTGCATCCCTTTTTCGACTGCGCTCGATTCTTTGTCAGAATTTAGAATTCATTGCTTTAGGATTGAGTTTGATTGTAGAGCACATTTCTCTGTATCCAGAACTGCGAAGTGGAGAGCTCTGTTAGCTGGGTTGGTTGCTGGTCCATCCATGCTTCTCACAGGGCCAAACACGCAGCACACAAGTCTGGCCATTTACATATTGATGCGTGCTTTAGTGCTTGCTTCTCGGTGTGGCATCAAGAGTAAACGGTTTGGTCGGATTTGCAAGCCGCTCACTTGGAAACATGGGGATATATTCCTCATGTGTCTCTCATCCTCGCAGATTCTGTATGTTCTCTTTGCGATTCTACTCGTCTACAATATTTTAAATTGTTGGTGTTATTATATGGGTTGTCTACTAGTTGTGGTTGTAAGTTTGTGGATAATAATTTGACTTGTTAATCATCCTAGTTTGCAAATTCTTCTGCTGTTCTTTGGTATGACGTGATTTCTGTCAGAATAACGATTACATGGTTCTCGAACGATAATATCGTGCCTACGATTATTGAACTACGTCTTTCGACATCATATGCTTGGCTATATAGACCCTTCTATAAGTATGTACTGTATTTCAGGTCGGCTTACATATTGAAGCAAGAAAGCTTGCCCGCATCGTACAAGTCTTTCCTAAACAAACATGGTGGGAAAGACCTTTCTGTCTTACGAGGTGTGAAAGATATCGCTAGTGGCATGCCATTCACCAATTTGGAGGCAATAGAGAGTTATTACAAGTCTACTGGAGTTGATATCAAGCTGGATCCTAACATGAAAATTCCATGTTCGGTAAGTTCACATTTATTCTCTGTTCTATCAAGTATCAGTGACATCCATATCTTTGGTCCTGGTTTATCGGAGGAGTAGGAGTATTTTGTTGATAACATCATCAGTGCAAATTAAAAAAGAAACAGTGATCTGAACCGTGAGATGGTTTGTTTGAGAACGGCATTCTTTTCCTGAAATTTTCGAGCGGGCTGGTCTGCCAACTACATACCATTGCACGCGGATTGAAACAACTGTACAATTATATTTCTGAAATGTTTGTTGAAAGTTATCTTCAGCATCTAGTGGATCCAGTATCTATTCATTTTGTGTTTTACCGTATGATCTACCTTCAAAAATATTCTTTCTTTTCGTTTTTTGATTTTTTGATCTTGATTGATGATTGAAGTATCTCAGTGCAATTGCATGGCTGTTCTTGAACATCAATCTTTTGGAATATTGTATTCATGTGCTCAGTTTGCTTCTGGCAGATAGTGCATGGAAAAGATTCATGTGTCAGGCATGGTATTACATTCTTTCTTCAAGCTTACAAAAGAGCGTTGCCTGTCTATATCCCCGTCTACTTGATTCCTGCGCTGATAGTCCACCGTCAAGGTCTATTAAAAGGGTACGGATCTATTTCAAGCAGAGGACCCATCATTGCTTGAAATTTTGATAAGTTTCTAAGAATTTAAACTCATCATTCACTTGTTTCGAAAATTTTCATGTTCCATATCGTAGACCACATACAATACTCGGCAAAGGTCTTCTGGGCACTGCAAGATCAAGCTTGTTTCTCTCTGTCTACTGTTCTTCGGCCTGGTCAGTTTCGAACATGTCAAGCTTTCACATTTATCATGTTCTTTATATCCATTCATGACTTTTTACATCCATCTGTCTCATTCTGTCATCCTTCAAGCATCACGTAAACTGAAGCGTTCAATTCGCTATGTACTTATGTGAATCAGGATGTGGACTTGTCTGCTTTTTCGGATTTTCAAGAGATGCAACGTACCGATGGTGGCCATGGGAACTGTATGACAGATATCCCGCTCCTTTTAAAACCCGTGTTCCTATAATCTCTCCAACATTACATACATATGCTAAATATCGATGACCCTGTAAACCTTTTTCTTCTGCAGTTCCCGACGGGTTTGGCATTGGCCATAGAGAAGAAAAGCAGGCGGATAGAGATATCGCTATACTGCCTAGCCCGAGCCATCGAGAGTTTCTTCACGTGCATGGGCGAGGCCGGTTACATCCGGCAGCCCAAGAGCCTGAGAAGAGCGGACGTGGTGGTCTTCAGCCTCTCGACGGCCATCATAATGCATTGCTACGCTCAGGAAAGAGAGGTGTTTCGATCAAAATACTTGAACGTCCTCGATTGGGTTTTCGGTGTTCCTCCTCCTCCTTGCGAAACTCCTCATTGCAAACCGGCCGCTTAGCCGTTTTGCTCAATCTCTCTTCCGA